CTCTTAACATCTAAAGGAAGTGTCGAAAAATATATAATTTAGGATTAATCCAAACAAGAAATAATATGGGTTTGTCAAAAATTTCAATCTTGATAATTGTTGAAAAATGTAAATCTCAAGAGACTGCCAAGAAGTAATTTAAAACATAGTCTCCAAAGGTAGCCTTCTTCTTCTTTTTCTATCTGTCCCATAGTCTAAAGCATAAAAAATTACCCTCATTTGTTTTTTCTAGACTCCAATAGGATAAATATATCTTCAAATCTATACAAGACTATAATTCTTATTTCTGCTCTTCTTTGTTCTTCCTTCCGAGTGTAATAAAGTGAAAACCTCATGGGTAGGTTTGCAATTATTATGTTAACTTACCGTTGAATTTCAATCTAATTAAAAATTACAATCAATTTTTACTCAATAAAAGCTCATGTTACAAAACGCGATTATCTACCTGCAACACCGGTTCCTTAGCCAGAATCACACTCCCAGCCTGATCTTCTGGCTGAGTTTTCACCGGATGACTTTTTACCTGAACGTGAAAATCTCATCATATATAAATAAATAATACACACAAGTTGTGAAGTAAAAACAATAAAGGCCAGTTTTCAGATTGCAAAAGATTACATTACAAGACGAAACTTTTATCATATTCCCAAATTTTTTCACTCCAATGATATGCCACTATGTACTTCTGAAAAAGTAGATAACATGTTTTTTGCTTATTTTTTTTTTTTTTCATAAAATACATAAAGAGTCATTGTTGACAATTCTCCTGGCATAGTGCTAATAATGGACTAGATCAAAATGGCTCAATTAAATTCTAGTGCTTCTTCTATTAGTGAAGTTTCTAGAAAAAAATATATCAAACGACGCAATGCACCTTGGGTCGTTACGGAAACAGCCTCCTTGTATAATTACAAGGGTACGGTCTGCGTACAACTAACCCCCCAAACCCCAACCTGTTGGGAATATACTGGGTATGTTGTTGTTGTTGTTGTAAAATACATAAAGAAACGAGTTTTGTTTGCTGAAATAAAGCATATGTCTCAAACATGCAAAAGAAAACGGCTAATCTTTCATACCCAGCATCGCATGATATCCCATATGACTTCCATAGGTGCATCTGTTTTCAAGCCCAGCGGATTCACATGGCTACCCGATATACGATAACCGGCATTAATCACAGCTGAACGGAATATAACTGCAGATGGGGAAGTGCATTTTAATGTTGCACAAAGGTTGTGCAAACTTAAAAACAGTGGTACATCGGGTAATTCCTGCACACCACACCCAATAAATAAATAAATAATTATTCCCTTGAAAGCCAAATAAAAAAAGAAAAATGAAAAAAGAAAAAAAGAAAGAAATAATACCTCGGAAATTGTGGTTAGCACAGCGGAAATCCGATCAAAGGCCGGGTACCGATTCTTCATAGTTTTTACGTCTGTTAAAATCGAATTCACCCATTCTTGATCATGGATTGGTGCAGACCATATGGGCCCACCCATGTTGTATTTCTTGCCGCAATCAGTGCACTCTTGGGGAACAACGGGACCGAACCCGGGAAGATATCTCATGCTTGCGCCATTGTTCTGAATATTCTTTCGTTAGTATCACAAAATGAGGCCAAAATTTTCAAGTTAAGGTGTTTTATTACAAAAGGTTGGTACTTGGTAGCAAGAATGTGATGATTTATGCTGATGAACAAATACTTATACATGGGTTATTAGGCTATGTTCAGTAAAACTAGCTGATAATAGCTTATCTGATAAGCTAGCTTATAGCTTATAAGTGATTTTCGAGCATATAGCTGAAAAGCTAGTTTATATGATAGAAGTGTTTGGTAAAATTAGCTGATAAGCTAGCTGAAATTAAAATTTCAACGAGCTTATTTAAAAAGCTACCAAAGAAGCTTATGAGATAAGCTCGATTTTTAAAAAAAAAAAACTCGTCTTATCAAACGAAACTTATTTGAATACATGAAGCTTATAAGCTAACCAAATAAGCTATAAGCTAGCTTATTTGTTTACCAAACATAGCCTTAATAATATTTAAGAAACATAGAAAAATAAAAAGCACGCTAGCAAATTATGGTTCAAGTTTCAAGAATTAACATGAAGGAAATATAAAAAAACAACCAAACTATTAATAATCAGGGCAAAAATGATGATTTTTGTTACCTTGTAGATGGTCCTCCCAATAGGCTGAAGATGAAAAGAATCACAGCCCGTGCATTGATAAACGTACGATAATTTCAGGGGAGTATTCTTCATGGCACCTGCTGAACTGAAAGCAATTATATCCATTAAATCAGGCATATGCAAATCTAAAGAATGATGTACTAATGCCAACCATATCATTCTAATCATGCTAACTTGTACATGGAAAAAAAAAATTAAGAAACTAGGAAGAGAGAAACACTCACGTGTATATACGCACAAAAACTCGTACATAAAAATCCATTTGAACAGATAGCACGGGAACAATGTATCGTTTGTACCGATTAGCGTGGCTCTGCATAGTTAAATGGATATACAATTTCAGAAGGAGATAATGCAACAATATAACAAAGAAAGTTAAAAATGGATTTAATATTAAAAGAGAATATACAATTATTGTTTTTACTTCTTATCAATTAGGTTCACAACAAGCAACTTACTTCAATACATGCAAGAAGGATCCTTAGCGCCATCTCGTGGCAATATTTCCCTCTCAATGGGTAAGACCCGTATCTAGTTCAAAAAACAAAGTATCACGTCAAACCACCATTGTCTCCGAGCTGTAAAGTATACACAAACCGATTTATTAAAACAAAAAATAAATCTTACTTGGAGTAGCAAACCTCGCCATTTCCCCCACATAGAACAGCCATATCAGTTGCTGTACACATTAACATCCCACCATCTACAACCGATTGAACAGCAGAGTCCAAGAAAATGGATGGCGAACCATATGGATCAAGATCAACCTTGTATTTACAGTTCACAGGATAAAGTTGTAAGCATAGACAAAAGAATAAAAATATTTCAGGTAGAATGTTGATACTGAAAAGCCACAATTTGATGGACAGAGGTAAACCCAAAACATATATTAGCAAAACGTTTATAAATCATCAAAGAATAGAAAGAAAATCAACAATTGTTACGGCCACAGCTTTTTACTCGCGCAGTGATTGTGAAATTGTGACAAATCTTTATTTTTTACGGACAGTTTGTAGCACAGTCCTCGTGTATATAACCGCATATTTCCATCTGTAGAGATCTAATAATTTAATGGTCTCCATTAAGATCAGGCATAGGAAAAAATAAGAATCTCTGAATCAGCATTATCATTTTATAAATGCATACCACGTCAAATTCTTTCGGGTGAGTAAGCACGTAAACTCTCGCATCAGCAAGTTGTGAGTCCACCTTTGAGCATGCCACAGAGCCATTAAACTTAATGTTCCTCCTGCAAGCTTCAACAGATGCTGCAGAAAAAAACATAAAGTTAGAATCTTTGAACCATATGGTACTATAAAGTATAAACCACAAAATAACCATCCAGATTTAAATGTAACAACTGAAACTTCACAAGGTAAATCATGAAGTTACCTTTATCGTTGTCCACGGCCACAACTTGGCCAATCCCATCTACTTCACGAGCATATCTTAAGGATCTGAGTCCAGAAGCAGACAATGCCTGTTAAAAGCCGAAACCAAAGCATAAGCATCTAATGCATGAAAAAATCTAAACTAGAGTAAAAACATAACATGAAACAATTGTAAATCTTAACCTCCAAAACTCGAGGGGGCTTCAGTTCTCTTGGGCCTTTTCCCACTTGGTTTGAAGGTTTATCTCCAGAGGTGCTTGTGGGTTTTTCCTGAGGTATATCTACCGAAGCTTCACATTCTCCATTCAAAGTTTTTTCCGGCATTTGGGTATTTGTCACAGGTTCGGGCTCAACAGTAGGCTCCCCTGCAGCTTCGGGCCCAACTTTCTTTTTCTTGGATAACATTGATTCATGCTCTTCTTTGCGTTTTGATATAAATGTTCTCAACACAGCAATAGACATGTCTCTGTTATTAACCTGGCATGGTTTATTCAAAAGCATACAAGTTAAAGTTAAAACAGAAAAAAAATAAAATAAAATAAAAATCGTCAAACCACCATGAACAACAGCACCCGCTGAGTAGTGAAAACTACTAACTACTAAAGTTCAACACAACAGATGACAAAATCATCTCAGTAATCAAAATCAAATTCAATGAAGTAAAAAAAGTAAAAGAAAAGCAAATCAACTCTACAATCAAATTCAATGAAGCAAAATCAGCTAACCTACCATCAAAACAACGTACGAGATACAATAAGCAAAAGGCGAGATCTTAAGAACCTGGGTTTTGTTATAAAAGACTTCATTTTTCACGTGCATTAGAATCTCGGCCTCCCCCTCCTTTATTATGGTGAAATCATTGAGATCAAAATGCGCAGCTTCAGGGGCGCTCGCGTGGTGTTCCTCTTCCTCCCCGATTTTGTTGCCGGAATCTGCCATATCCTCAGTAGACAGCAGCTTAATTGGGCTCCTATGCGGCGGCTGTGGTGGCGGCGGCGGGCAGAGAAAAAACGGAGATAAATGAGATTTGAGGAAGACGGCTCAATTTGCTGGTGAATTAAATCAAAAGTGATAATAATAGAAAAAGATTAAAAAAAAAAATTATCAAAAAAGTGTGTGCTTTGTGTGTGTAACTGCAAATTGCAAAAACCCTAAAATCCTGCAGGTTCGTGGGTAGGTATATTGAGACTGACAGTTTTGTGATGCGTCCGTCAACGGAAAGTTGGTTATTAATTTAGTTAATTAATTTTTCTTAATATTGAGTTTTTCAATATTAAGTTTTTCAAAATAAAAATCAATATTAAGAAAAATCAAATTTAGTGTCCACTTTTACTTGGTCATGTTTTCATTGATAAAACAAACTAGTAATTATCATGTCAACATGTACATATGTATTATGTATATAAAGTAGTATAAGTAATATGTGTGAATTTAATTTTAAAATTATAGATAATGAACATACACATTTTCAAGATTTGATGATTAGTAAAAATAAAATAATATAAATATAAATTATTTAAATATTAAAAATATGTGGGTAATGTATTTTTTATAATTTTGAGGGATCATACTCAAATAATTTAGTTGAAAAAATATTATTATTATTATTATTGTTATTGTTGTTGTTGTTGTTGTTGTTATTATTATTATTATTGTTATTATTATTGTTATTATTATTATTAGTGTTATTATTATTATTATTATTTATTATTATATCAACAATTGTTTATAAGATTTTAAAGTGGTTTGGTTGTGCTATTACAACTATTTAGCTATTTTTTTTAGAGAAAATTGTTTCATGCGATACGAAAAATAATGGAGGAAAAAATTGCAATATAATTGTTTATATTGTGTAATTTGTATTTTGTGTGAATTATTAATAGTTGATATTAGCATTAACTATTATATAATATAATAGCAAAAAAAAATATACGATTACACTTAATAATGTAAAAGGTAAAAAATATACGATTACACTTGCAATGTCAAATGGAATTGGTGTTGCTTGACTAACTATCACCTCATCCAATCCATATTAAGTATAAGTTATTTGTGTAGATGGAACAATTACAGCCTTTCTTTTTATGTAAGAGCAACACAAAAAAGTTTACACTTGATCTCACCTCATCCAATCCATTTTAAGTATAAGTTATTTGTGTAGATGGATCAATTAAAGCCTTTTTTTTATGTAAGAGCAACAAAAAAAAGTCTACACTTGATCTACTCCAAAACATAATAAGACTTGCGACAATATCACGCTTTGAATATAAATTTATAATTCACTTTTAAAAGTTGATGATATATATATTTTTTTATACAATGGCGAAAGCTTTTTAAGTGGAATTAGAATATATAACATGTGCGAACACATATTATGTTAATAAGTTGATGTATTTAATGGGTGTTTATTTTCTTGTATATATAGAAAGTAAGAATGTATATATAATTATTTTGCATTAAACGCCAAGGATAATAATTTGACCATAAAAATAAAGATCCTATATCTTTTTTTTTTCACATCTTTTTGAGATATCTTATTCAATTATTTTTCTTTTAATTTGTAAGAACATATTTATATCATTTTTAAACAAAAACTTATTAATAAGCATATATATTATCAAGATTTTTCATTCATTCCCAAGCGTATACGTGGGTATAAAATTCGAAGATTTATGGGCCCAACAGAATTATCTGGTTATAACTGTCCCATCCCATCTCATCTGGCCTAATTAATCTTAGCCATCTGGCCCATAAGCATTTATAATAATCAATTTCCGGCCCAGGTCCANAACTACGCAGTTTGGAGCAACAATTAAATAGTGCTCTAAAACGAATTCGCACGAAAGAGGTAAAATTTAAATGAACAAAAATGAGTAGATTTATTATTTATTTATTTTTTTAAAAATAGAATTGCAAATATATGCTAAGTAATTTAGGGTAGATATTGGTGATTTTGTTCACTAACTTTCGAGATACTGATAAAAATCGAGCACAATATGCAGAATTTTTTTTTCAAAAACTACCCATTAACTCGAAAGATTGGGAAAAAATGTTACTTAATGAATTTGTAAATTATCTTAAATCCTACTAGACATACTTGACAATTTTATTTTATTTTATTTTATTTTTTTTAATTATTATCTAATTTATTGCTTAACTTGGCTTTGTTTCTTGAACAAAAAGCAGAATCAACTTATGGAAGCATCCATTTCAGAATTTCACAAAAAGGTGACTCTATTCAAAATTCTTTTATTTATTTCCCCCTTACATGGATATAAATTAAACATGCAATTAATATGAAGTAGATATTTTTGAAACTAGCTTCATCATGTTATTCAAAATAAGTTACAGAGGTATTTTAATAAAACAAAATTATTGACCTCTTAAAATATTGATTAGTCAGTAAGATGATGTTGGTCAGGTCTAATGGTTAGAAATTCATTTACGTCATACTTTAAAATACCAAAAAAAAAAAAAAATTGTATATTCCGAGCATAATTATTCATTTTTATTACAAAAGGTATATCATTTCAACTCAGTTGTCTCAAACAATAACTTTAATTAATTATTGTAATGGTTTGGTGAGTACAATTGTGATCTTATGATTTGTCTACGCTTTTATTACAATTTAACAATATTAATCTAATTAAATATTATAAGATAAAGTCTGCACAATTGACTTCCAGACCCCAACCTGTTGGAAATATACTGGGTATGTTGTTGTTGTTGTAAATATAATTAAATATTAATACCACAGGCGAGAACAGTGCAGGATCAACGCAACAAATTAGTAAAACAGGATTTGGAGTCTTGAAAAAAAAATGGCGTTTTATCAATTCCTATAAATAGTTGAACTTTGAGTTCAAGTGTATGTAATGTATGTATGGAGCTTTGATAAGCCCAGCCATGGCAACATAACTCTGTTTTGCCCTTTATTTTTGTGGGTATTGAAAAAAAATTTCCATAATTTAAATTTCACTTTTTTTAAGACAAAAATCAAATGTTTTGCTAGACGTTTTCTTTTAAGAAAAAATGTTCCATAGATTAGACAAATTAGTTAACTTATTTGACCATTCATTCATGGTGCAAGTCCTATAATTAATAGTCAAATAAGTAATTATTCATAACGTACGAGTTAACATTAATTTGGACATAATGAAAGAGTCGATTGTTTATAGTTTAAAAAATTACTCAACTACTTAAATTTTGATTTGGAGTTTATAGAAAATAAATTCATTTTAATTAATGAAACATTATAAATTTTATATTCATACTTATTAGGCAAAATTGTAATTTTGGTCCTGCTGAATTTAACGTGTAGCAATTTTGGTCCTGTGGTTTGAACTTTTCGCAATTTGGTCCTGTAATTTAAAAATTTCGTGCAATTTCAGTCTTTCCAGCCTCGAAAATTTGACTTTCTTGCCGTGTCGAGCACGTGACCCTCACGTGCTAGATTTTCCGACCAAACATATATGAGTTGGCATTCTTCTGTACGCGTGGAAAATGAAAAAAATCGAAAAAAAAAAAGAAAAAAAGAAACACACGTGGATGGGCCAACCGGGTATAAAACCAAACAAACATCAAAATAGACCTAAAATCGAACTCCTGAAAATCAGAAAAAACCCGTAACCCTATTTTCTTCCCCAAATCCCCAATTCTGCTTGAACTCTAGAACCCTAATCATGTCCGAGAGCTCCCAGGTTAACGATGAGTCCTACTGCAAGTGCTTACAGAGGTCAATCATAGTCACCTCTTGGACCAGCGAAAATCCTGGTCGTCGCTTTCGTTCGTGCTCTGAATACGAGGTAATGCCTAAATTATCTTTTTTATTCTTAATTTAGGATTTTTTGTACAGGTTGATAAATTGTATTCTTTTTTCTTGGGTAAAATCAGAATGGAGGTTGTGATTTTTTTTCTTGGGTTGATCCACCAATGTGCAACCGATCGAAGCAAATAATTCCTGGACTCCTACGAAAATCAAATCAACTGCGTGCTCAAAATGAAGCATTGGAAGACGCAATTTTGAAAATGGAGGATGAAAATAAAATGTTGGTTTTAGAGAACAAGAAATTGCAGTTGAAGTTGCAAGAGGCAAGTTCGAAAATGAAGGATGAAAATAAAATGTTGGTTTTAGAGAACAAAAGGTTGCAGTTAAAGTTGCAAGAGGCAAGTTCGAAAATGAAGGATGAAAAAAAATGTTGGTTTTAGAGAACAAAAGGTTGCAGTTGAAGTTGCAGATGAACTCAAAGACTACATTTTGGTTTTGGTTACTTGTTGGAGTAGTATATGTGTACTTGTACTTGTTTTCAAAGAAGCAGGTCAATGGTTCTGGTCAATTGAAAATGCTTGTTTAGAATGTTGGTTTGAATTCAAATGATATGCTTTGTTGGTTTGAACTTTGTTAATGTGTAGTGTTTTGAACTGAAAACTGGTTGTGTTCAATGCATTGTAATGTGCACTTTGTTGGTTTAGATTGTGGTGTATCAGTGGTAGACTTTCTTGTGTTTAGATTGTAATGTGAACTTTGTTTCACTGGTTTTGTAATGTAATTTCCATGAAGTTAAGTTAAGTTTTAAGTTTAAGTTTTTCAGTTCCCTGTGATTTAAGTTTTAAGTTTCTCAATTCAGCTTTATTGAATTTAAGTTGTTTACATAGATACAAAACTGAATAATTTTTTGAGAAAATGATACTAAAACAATCATGAACAAAAGGTAACTAAGTTTAACTTGCTATCAACACTGTAAGCACAGAATATAAACAATCAGTGATATCATTACAATCAACCAAAAGGTAACAAATGTTCACTAATGGAGCCAAAACAATGATCAACCAAAAGAACCAAAAGATGTACCATCATTTACAACCATCATCAGTCAAATACCACAAAAATCATGCAGTCATGAAACATAGTTTGATGTACATAATGTTTTGATCAATTTACAAAAGTACAAAAGGCAACAAAGTTTTTATCAACGAAAAAACAGCCTTCAAATTACAATCACAATCCTTGACTTTTTCCCTGAGACATTTGTAATTGCTGGTGAGGTGTAGGCCCAGCTATGTTTGCACTCTTTGGAATCTGATACTCTTCACATTCTGGTCTTAGAGACTCCAAATCAACAGCTTCACCTTCATCTTCATTAGCTATCACTGGTGGTAGAAGTGTGGGATTCTAAACAGAAAAAGAAAAAGACACATGATCAATGTACTAATATATCTACTTAAAGGATTGAATGATCAACAACATGAATACAACATGAAATATGAAATACAGTATAAATAAATCTACTTATATACTTACAGTATTAGGTTTAAGACCATAAGCAGATCTCTTTTTAGCCTTTTCATAATTTTCAGCATTCTTCCTCTTTGTTTCAAGCTTCAATAAAGAAAGAAAAACATGGGAATGGCATTAACTTATTGACATACAAGATACAAAATAACAAAAGATTGATAAAATGTAACTCACAATTGTTTCAAAAGCTCTTTGCAATGGGCTTTTGTTTTGATCTTGTGTTAGTTGACTTTGGGCTTCCAACTCTTGCACCTTTCTCTTGTCACAGGATCTTGAATTATGCCCAGGTACATCACATTTCTTGCATGTGACAGTTGGTTTTTGTCTCTTCATCTTCATGGGTTGTTTCCCTTTTCTTTGTTTCTTTTTCTCCTCAGTGTCTCTAACATCTTTTCTTCTTCTGGTTGAAGGTCTGCCAGCCCCCCTCCCAAAGTTGGGTGGTAATGGGGGGGATAAAAAGGGTCTGTCTCCATAGCAAGGGCCCATTTGTGCCTAAGATTGACCCTCTAAAAACCTTTCTATAACACTCAGTGGAGTAACACTCATGCACAAAATCAACAGGAAGCAATTTTTGTGCTAGAATATCACTACAGGCATGTTTACATGGAATTCCTCCCAAATCCCATACCCTGCAGGTACAAGTCCTCTTCTCCAAATCCACATTGAACTGAGACCCATCATAACATTTAATTTGGTAGTGCTTATCATCACACTTGATTGGCATGCAGTCACAAACATGGGACAAATGTTTTTGAAGAATCAGATTCACATTAGGACAAATCTTTCCATTCCACTTAAGCTCTGCCTTATGTCTTTTTCTCTGCCTTATCTCTTTTTTTTTGCATCTTAATACAAATGTATTCCCTAATCCACTCTAGCATGTTAATGATAGGTTTTTCTCTTGCTTCAAGTATGTTGCTATTAAATGTTTCACAAACATTATTAAGTAACATATCACACTTTGATACCTCTGAAAAATGAGATTTGGACCAGTGTTGTGGTGGTTTATCAAGGAACCACTTGAAAGCATCTAAACTCATATCCCTAATCTCTAACATCCTGCCATTAAACTCCCCTACAGTTGTGGCTTGTGCTGCTCTCCAAACTGCATGCTTGTAGGCCATTCCCCTAAAACCTGCCTTCATGAAGTTGTTATGAAGATGCCTGACACAAAATTTGTGACTAGCTCCAGGGAAAACAGTGTCAAAAGCTTTGATAAGACCTTTTTGCTTATCAGAAATGAATGTAAAATGCTCAGGACAAGTGATTCTTAGATCCTTCTTTAGGATTATGAGAAACCATTCCCATGTTTCAAAGCATTCAATTCCAACAACAGCAAAAGCAATAGGAAAAAGGTTATTATTTGGGTCTACACCCACTGCAGTCAAAAGAATCCCTCTATGTGGACCCTTCAAATGGCATCCAACACCAACTATAGGCCTACATCCAGCTTTGAACCCCTCTTTCAGAGCATTAAAACAAATATAGAATTTGCTAAATCTCTCCTCACCATTCTCTTTCTCAGTGGCAAGTATGACTGTTGATCCAGGATTTGAAGTCCTTAACTCTTCTGCATAATCCCACAATTGGGAAAATTGATTATCAAGATGTCCCTCAAGCTGTGCAAGAGCTCTTCTCTTAGCCCTATAGGCTTGTTCCTTAGATATATTCACATTCAAGTTATGAATAATATCTAGTCTCCAACCTTTCACACTTCTTTTAGGATCAGTTTGAAAATTACTGGTGAATTTTCACTCAGCCATTTGATTTGATATTTTAACATTAAATGTTTCAAAGCAGGAGTGAGTAGGGTTGTATTCTCTGATCTGGAAACTAGCTTCACCCTTCATCTTTAACAAATTGATCTTCCAACTACAATCATTTTCTGCACACCTTACATAGACCCTTATCTTGTCATTTTTCTCTGTCCTAAGGTTTTCTATTTGTCTTAATTGCATGTGACTGGATGGCCTTCCTAAATTCTTCTTTTGTGGCAAAAATCATCCCAATTTCAAAAACAGGATCAAAAACCTGAGAGGAATTAAACACAGGTGGATCCACATTTTCAGTGTCACTGCCCACCAAGTCATCTAGATCAACAGGGACTTCAACAACATCTTCATCACTCTTACTCATAGAATCTGTCTCATCTTCACCATTTGCCCCTATATCTACATTCTCAAACCACAATGCATCATCACCATCACTGCTAGTCTCCCTCATGTCATAATCACTATCTAAGAAATCAGACTGATCAACAGTGTCATCTTCTTGACACTCATTATCAGGCTGATTATCTTCTTCAATCTCACTCTCATGTTGACTCTCTTTTTCTTGGACACCTACATTTGCATTCTCAATCTCATTTTCAGACTCAACCTCAAAACTCTCATCCTCACTATCAGAATCAGATTGCAGCCTAAACCAACCACCCTCTATAGACAAAGGAGAAGGACTAAATGCATCAGAAGCCTCAACATACACAGCCAGATGCCTCATAAATTTGTGAGCCAAGGCCCATGTTCTAATGTCATCATCCCCATTCAACAACTTGAAACTTAACCCAATCAATACAAAATATCTCTACCACCCACAATACCAAATTTTTCAGACGTTTGCCTCAAAACCGACTCAGACATTGTTTTAGCATCAACAAAGTCAAAAACTATTTTATCTCCTCCAATATACTTAGCATAAGGCTCATGCACAAATGAACCNCATAAAAAATGCATTAGGTGCAGTGAAAATTAAACATCAACATTCGAAAAAACAAAATAAACAAAATAAAACACATTCGAAAAAAGACACCGTATTCAAGGGGATCATTATCCCAATAATCCTTTGCTCTAATCTTTGTGTTGTTGTCCATCACATCGAATTTGCTCCGAATTTGGATTAGAAATGCAAAACAATGAGAGATTGAGATGATTAGGGTTCTAGGGTTCGAGCAGATTTGGGGATTTGGGGAAGAAAATAGGGTTACGGGTTTTCTGATTTTCAGAAGTTCGATTTAGGTCAATTTTGATGTTTGTTTGGTTTTATACCCGGTCGGCCCATCCACGTATGTTTCTTTTTTTTTTAATTTTTTTTCGATTTTTTTTCATTTTTCACGTGTACAGAAGAATGCCAACTCATATATGTTTGGTCGAAAAATCTAGCACGTGAGGGTCACGTGCTCGACACGGCGAGAAAGTCAACTTTCCGAGGCCGGAAGGACTGAAATTGCACGAAATTTTTAAATCATAGGACCAAATTGCGAAAAGTTCAAACCACAGGACCAAAATTGCTACACGTTAAATTCAGCAGGACCAAAATTACAATTTTGCCTACTTATTATTCACATTGGTTTTAAAATATATTATAAAATTTTACCAAAATAATTATTTTACGGAATCACACTATAGTCCAATCGAAATTCTGAACAAAAGTTCTAAAATGACATTTATTTTAAATTGCATATGATTTAATTTATTATCAAATAGGTGCGCCGTACGAGTTGTGTATTAATTTTAAATACACATGTTTTATGTTGAATTTTGAATAAGTTAAATTTCATGTAGTATTTTTAATAAATTAATATATATATATTATATTACATTAATTTCATATTTTTAATTTATTAATAGTATTTAATAAGTATTTTTAATTTCTAAAAACTATTTAATATTTCTTATTGCATGTGCATCGCATAATATTTTAATTAACAATTCTTGTTTTCTTTTGTAAATATTATTTGAAATGGACAAATTGCACATATGGCTAGGTGGTTGCATTATTCCTTGCCATCATCGGAGAATTTTAATCCTCATTATAATTCACAATAAAGAAAAAAGGACAAGTTTTGAAATAAACCTTATATATGGTTGTTGAAAGTTGTGAGACTGTAATAACTGGTCAAATCAGTTGAAAAGATTAAATCTTTGTACCAAATTTGTACTAAAGAGGGACGCGTGTCGAACTGTAGTGGAGCTTATAGCTATAGCCCTAGACATGGATAGTGAAGAATTATTTTTGTAGACTATTGCTTTTTATAACTTGTAATTTTGTATAATTTTTTTGGGTATGTACGCAATTTTTAATTTTACGTCAGTTGGTCTATAATATAACAATTTAAATTTTTAATTTCTGATTTCAATTAATACATATCTCTATCGTTTTGAATANNNAAATTTATTTGAGTTTTTAATTGAATTTCTTGTTGATTGCGGATACACAACTCCAATAAATGGAGAATCATGCACATACAAAATAAGAGTTTTTTATTTGAATTTCTTGTCGATCTAATATATAATTTGATAGAACTAAAGTACCAAATTTAAATTTCATAAAAACATTGGATAAAACTGTCACGCAATAAAATGTTTGTATCACATCCAACCCAAAAAAGTACTGATCAAAAACTACCTGACCAAAAATTATAGAGAGGATGTGTATGTAAACTGGTCACAAGTCATATATTTTAATTTTGTACTATTTTTTACGTAAATTGGTCGCAAATCAAATATGTTTTTGCAGCAAATTTTCAATTGAATACATAGAAAATGAAAACCAACTGAAAGTTTCATTAAAGGAACAGATTTTTTTTTTTTTTCTTTTGTTAGTAGATTCAAAATTCGTTAATTACTTAATGCAAGTAAACTAGAAACAAATATAAGCACTGTTGATTTTGCTCGAATTTTAACATATTCAATAACATAATTTGAGTGCACACTCACAAATATTTTTTAATTATGCTATAATTGAGTAGACATAATTTTAACTAGATTATAATCCATGCTTTTCTCAAGCACCACAAGAGAAGTCTTTCCACGGCTGTTAGAGGCGCTATTAATTATCAATTTACTTTTCGTTTAGAATGATTTGATAACTTTTTTGCACATTTTTTGCTCAAAATTATTCTCAGTTGAATTCAACTTAAGTCTTATATTTTTTTTTAATATAATTAAATAATATCAATCATTCTTATACATCAGATCAATAAGATTCGTCATTATTCAATAACATATTTTTAACTATTCAACATTTTCAATCATCACTATCTTATTTTTACATCACATTAACTTTAACATTACATTTTAAATATTATTTAAATACAAATTTAAAACTATTCGAGAATTATCATTAAGAATAGCAAATTAGAATGAATTATTTACTGTTCGAGAGAGAATGGAGAAAAAAAATGGAGGCGACTTGTATTCATTAGAATGTGAAAAGTAAAAGTGTGTTTTATTTTTCACATTTGATGAATACAAGTCGTATAGTAAACCCTAATTATTGCTATTTATACATTGTGGATATAACTAAATTTGCTAATAAAAAAATACACTTTCATGATTGAAGTCTTAAAAGTAAAAAGGTAAATACATAAAATCATAAATGTCTTATAATCTATATATATTGAAAAAGAGAGGTCAATAAATCATTTGTAGAAACTTTTAAAAAAACTGGTCAACAACACCACTGACTTCCCATTTGTGGAAACCAATTAAAAAAATCCAAAAATTATTTACTTTTTGATTTTCTTTTTATTTTAAATCATTCCAAAACAGAATCATGCAAAAAACAGAATACTGGAATCATACAATTTGGTCAGATTTTCTTTACAATTATTCAAGAAACCACCGGAATTTCTGAACTATGAAATCATAGGAATCCCAATTTTTTAGGTAATAAATTTGGAGATTTTTTTGGATATATTCCAACTTATCTTAACATCTATATAATTACATTACTGATATATTTTTACATATACACGGGGGAATATTCAACTTAACTGAATAAACTATCTCGTGTAGATAGTTACGAAAAAATATCTCGTGTAGATTGATATTCAACTTAAATACCTATATATTAAATACCCATAAAAAAATTACTGATAAGTTAGCATGGGTACTAAATATTTAATACATGTATTAAGTACCCGTAATATGAAAATGCCAACTTTTCATGAATTAAGGACCCGTACATGGGTATTTTAATTTCATTTCTTATTCATGTATTTAGTAATGAAATACATGTATTACCCATGTACGTGTACATTAAATTAAGTTAAATAGTTTGAATTAAGTACCCATACATGGATACTTAAGTTACGAAAAATGTTATTAAATGTCGTTTTTTCAACGAATTAATTGATATTACATTACTTTAATAACATTTTTTTAACAATTGAATTCAACTTAAGGCATTTTGTCTTTTCATTAATTAGGAAACGAGGGATTAAGAGGTACTACATTGGTGTTTTTATAAAAAATTAATTGTCCAACAAAAAGTGAAAAAAGATAAAACTCTTATTGTGAATTAAAAAACTATAAATATAGTTTTGTGAAGTATTCTTTATTTTATTTAATATATATATTTTTGTTAAAATTAAATAGATTGATTAATTTATTCGACAATTAATAACGCCGGTGAATATCAACTTTTAAGTACGGGTACTTAAAAGTTGGTATTTAGTACCCATGTATCTATCTATATATATAATTACTAGCTAATAGTATTTAAGAAAACCTATTTAATAAAACCTCTAAAACTTTCCCTCCATTTTCGGTTACAAAATTTATCATTAATGTTTTTTACTTCTCACGTTAATACATCCTATTGAGTGTAATCATGTATTTTTCTATTATATTATATAATAATTAATGCTAATACCAACTAATAATAATTCACAATAAATATAAATTGCATAATTATAAACAATTGTTTCAAGTTATTTATTTTAACATTAATATTATCTTTTTCTTTTTGTATCTCATGAAAAAATTTCTTTAAAAACAATTAGTAAATTGTCTTAATAGCATAGTCAAACAACTTTATAATCTTATAAACAATTGTTTTTGTAATAATAGTAGTAATAATAATAATAATAGTAACAACAACAATAATAATAATAATCAAACTGCTATTATCTGATGATAATTAATAACTGTTCATAATAATAAACAATCATTAATTTATTTTTTCTAATGATTAAATTTTAAAAATGTAATATGTTCATTATCTAAAATTTTAATATTAAATTCTCAAATATTACTTATTATATTATGTACATCTGTGCATGTGAACAGGATATTTACTAGTGGGTACTAAATACATTTATTAAATACCCATAAAAAAAAATTATTGATAGGTTGGCATTTTCATTTAAGTTACGAAAAATAGTTACTGATATATTAAATATTTCACTTAAATGAATTAACATTTTCAGTATGTCATACTGAATTTGCGATATACCCGTACATGGGTATTAACATTTTTCGTAACCATACTGATATATTTATATCGGTATAAATATCATTTACTGATATATTTTTGCAATATACCCATACAAAAATGACATATATTATTCATTTTTTCGTAACAATTATTTAAGTACCGTGTAATATTAACATTCATGTTAATTTAAATTTTTAATTACTATTACTATAATAACATTGATAATAATAATAATAATAATAATAATAAACATCTGCTTATTATAAATTTAAAAAATTAAATCTACACATGTAAGACATAACAAATAGTTTGAATTCGCCTTTTAATTTAAAGGTAAAGATACCCAGATATATAGATACCCTAATTTTGTTTTCTTTTATATTGTTAAATATAAAATTCAACACACATTTGCCGAAAAAATTGATGATGGTTTAAAAAGATAAATACACGGAAATCGTGGTTCCAAACTCTGTCGATATGATACATCATTATATAAATTCGTTTAAATTAAATTATTCATTTAAATTAGATCAATATTAACCCAAATATGTAGATACCACAATTGCGTGTTGTTTAATATTGTAAAGTATTCAACACGTTTTAATCCTAAGCAGATTTAACGGAAAATCCGAGAAAGATTCTACAAGATAAATACAAACGTACAATAATGTTGTTTGTTTCACGTGAAAGTAATAGAAAATGGTTGAAAATATTAGTTTATGGGGACGACGAGTTGCTCAATTATTAAACAAATAATGTTGTGTACAAAATTTTTTTTAATAACATATTTTTTTTATGAGAAAAATTTTATTATTTGACAATTTCTCTACAAATTATCACTCTTTTATTTATTAATACATTTCAATTTTTAATATTTCCCAAAATAAATACAGCTCGTGCATCGCACGGGTTACATGCTAGTTTAGTAAAAACTCTACTCAATTAATGTTTTTTTTTTTAAATTAACTCATTTTATCCAATAAATCTAATCAGAAATCATTTTTTTTTACTTCCAATCAGCTCCTAGATCCAACCGACATATGAAAGCGCACGCCTTAATTATTACTTTCCTAACGTGAGAAAGGATTTTATCATTATCTATATATATATAATTGCTAGCTAAGCAATAAATTTTATCTAATAAATAAAACCTAATAAATTTTATGTATGTGGCAAATCATTAATAAAACCTAATAAATAGAACCTAATAAATTTTATTTATGTGGCATTAATACACTCAATCTCATTAATAAGAAAATATTTCATTACATTTTTTTGGGTTAATTAAGACAAAAACTATTATATTTTATGTTAATTGATTAATAATTATATTTTTTATTGAATAATATAATAATTAATATTAAAATTAGTAAGTATATTTTATACTAAATAATATATGAAAGTTACATAAAATTATATTTTACACTAAAATCAATATTTTTTTATATGATGAAGATGTTGTTTATTAATAAATTAATTTTTTTTATGTCATAGTAAAATTTCTTAAAATCACATAAGCAATTGTTATAATAAATGTAATATTTTTCAGCTAATTAATTGGTCATGAT